GCCCCAGCACGGAGTCACTACGGACCGCCCCGGACCGCCCCGGACTGCCTCGGACCGCCACGGACCGCCACGGACCTGATCCGGCCTGGTCCGGCCCCGTCCTGGCCCATCCGTGCTCCCATCCGTGTTGGGTCCGGCTTGATCCGTAGTGATCCGTGGCCGACAAAAACGACACGGATGGCCACGGATGGGCCCGGTTCAACTTCAACACGGTGCCACTACGGACTGTCCCGGACCTACCACGGACTGTCCCGGACCTACCACGGACGCGCCACGGACCGTCCAGGACCACCCCGGATGGTAAAAACTTCCCGGATCACCCCGGCAATTTTAAACAGTTTAAAACATCCGGGGCGATATCCCGGAATGCGCCGGACCATCAAGGACCACCCCGGACCGGGCCGGACCGGGCCGGACCGTCCAGGACCGTCCAGGACCCAACAAGGATCTCTCCCCGGATCAGTCCGGCAGCGTCCGGCCCGGTCCGGGAGCTTGGTGTGACTTTAGCTTAACCGTGCTACTCGATTGTTTTAGCCAATGAACATAGCTGTGTGTGTAACGTCTTGCCCGCGCGCTTTATGCTTGGCTTAGCGGGCCTCAAAATGGATATCGGAGGCAGGCACCTCGCAACACGCGTGTTTGTTTACATATATAGCTTTGTGACGTACGGTGTTCGGGAGTTCTGCGATGATAACCTCGTAATTTCTCAGCATTTCTTGCAGGCATGCTTGCATTTCTTGCAGGCAACATTAGAGGCAGAGGAGTATGATTTTCGCTAAAATAATTCGGTTGAAATTAGGCATAAGAAAAGTTTGTACCGTCTTATGAGAATGTACCAAATGTTGTATGACCGGTTAAAACTACAAATTTGTATATTTCAATAGTTAGTGCTGATAGAGATAGTACTAATACTAGTAGTGTAATTGTTAGATTCAAAGCATAGCAAAACAATGACCACAATGTAAATAAGTCATTAATAATGACGCTTTATATATTATTATCATTATAATGGCGACACAGCACACTCGCAGCGGCGAGTGCGGGAGCGTTTGGCGTTAGTTTTTATGAAGGAAATTTGATATACAGTGACACAACAGTGGAACTGTAACAGTGTATGTGAGGGGTACGGTACTCGGTAGTAATAGTATTTGTGAATGTGCGTTCATATTATTTTCAGGTTTTACTGACTGTGTCCCAAGTGCCTGTAGGCTGTATATATCCTTGGAAGTTATCCAAGTTTATGAATTTAGAATTTTATTGTAAAAGTATGCTATGTATTGTATAGCACTAATACACTATTAATGACTATATCATATAATGGATCATTGGATGTTAAAAAGGCCTAAATTAGTAATAATTAGTACACAGTGGCTATATGCCCAGCAGCCGAGGCGTGTTCAGGAGACCGAACGCTCGCGAGCGCTCGCCTTCTGAACGACACTGCGCTCGCGAGCGCTCGTTTGAAAAGCTGTTCGCTCAGCGCGCGAGTTGTTTACAAGATGGCGACGAAAAATCTGGCGAATGCGAATCTAACATTTCTGACGTCAATTTGCAA